GCTAGGGACTGAACCTGGGCCCTCTGGGAGAACAACCAGTATTCTTAACTGCTGAGTCATCCTTCCAGCCCCCATCTTCCTACTTAATCATCAGAACTATCTACTCTGTGGGACACTGTAGCCCAGGGGTTTTCTTCCAGGTCCCTGGGCTGATCTCATCCTGGAACACCAAGTAGCCTGGTGCTGGGTCTTGGAGGCTCCCAACAGAATCAGATGTGACCTGCGGCTGGTGTCATATGTCACCATCCTTGCAGAAATGAAGTTACTCTAGAGAGACCCTTAGCGCCCCTCCTTCTGGCTATGAGATTCTTGAAACAATGGTTTCCAAGCTATGAGAATTGTCCAGGAATCTCATGTTGGGAGGAGGAAAAGACTGGAGCCTGGTGCCAGGCGGAGGGGAAATTTGTCTCCCAGAAAGAGATCTTACACGGTTCTGACAACTTGTCAGACCACGATGCAAAAGATACTGGAGCTGAGGCAATGATGGTGCAGCGATGGGCAGGACCACACCTTGACCAGGACTGTTCAATTATGCAGACCTCGTTCTCTCTACTTAAAACTAACTTCATGACAGAACCCTGAAAGTGGACTCGGTGGAGGGGGATGTCACTGGACACCTTTGTTCCTCTTTCCAGTGTGGCCACAGTGAAAAATCAATCTCCTTTCTCTGCTTTTCACTGTGCTTATATGTATAATTGCCCCATTAAGGGTGGGTGGCCTCTAGGACCCAGGTTGAGCATGGTAGCTTGAGGCTGTATTACTTGTCTCTTCTTGCTGAGGTCCTGAGGTGGCCTCCCCGATGGTCCATAGTCTCCGCACGCAGCAATCGCGCTAATGCAATGGGCCGGTCTCTGAGCAGCAGAACATGACAAAGAGAGGAGACTCTTTATAAGGAAGGGGCGGTGGCTCTGAGCAAGGCTCCTTCCAGAACAGTGGCTGTAGATGACTATGGAGAGGCCTGCATGCTGATGGACTGAGCCCTCAAGCCAGCAGCCAGCTAAGCAAATGGAACAGCCTCCATCCAGGTGATCCTCCCACTCCAGAAATGCAGATTAACTGTGAATCCCTCTGGCCAGGGCCTGTCTTCCCCTGGAGGCTGGCTTCAAAAACTGGGAGGTGATGACTGGTATACCTTTATGTGGCCTGGGGACAGTTTGTTACGCAGCAGCATCTAAGGACAGACTCTCCAGCGCTCCTGGGAAGCAGCCGCAGTCCTCTGGGTTCTTTTTCCCACCCCTTAAAAGTCCCCACAAAGGTTGGAGAGATGGATGAATCAATGTTAAGGGCACTGGCTCACAGCTGGTCATAACTCCAGTTCCTGAGAGTGCTGATGGCCCTCTTGTGGCCTCCACGGGTACTGCACACATATGGTCCACAGATAACTGCCAACAAGCCCCAGGAGCCTTGAATGCTTTGACCCCACAACTGCCAACAAAGGTGAGCACCTCACCTTTTTTTTTTTCCTGGATAAATTTTGTTTTTCTAGATGTTTCCATCACTCTTGGCTCAGTTTGTTTATTGAAGTTTAAGGAGGCAATATTCCTGACTGCCAGGACTTGGCAGTTTTCAGACATCCTGAGGCTAAGCCACAGAATAGAGATGTGGAAGCCGTCACCCATGTGGCCCTCACTTATATTCCTGCTCTGACACCCCTTCAATGGGGACGGAGGCCTGGGCTTTGTCTGTTGGGGCCAGATGTGGCCTTTCCACGAGCACTCTTGTGCCTTGGAAACTGAAGTTCCCAGAGGGAAGAAGGCAATGTTGAAGATTCCACAGGGTTGGTTGATTAGGACTTGGTAAGTGTGGGGGCCTAGTCAGCAAAGGGCTTGCTGAGTAAGCACGGGAACCCGAGTTCAGTACCAGCACCACTGAGAAAAAAACAACAACCTGGGTGTGGTGGTGTGGACTTGTAATCCCAGTGCTGGGGAGGCAAAGACAGGAGCATCTTGGAGCACTCAGGGCTGACTCTGATCTACACACACACACACACACACACACACACACACACACACACACTGATTCTGCCTGGGTGCTCTGTTAAGCTTAGGCCTGGGGGCCATTTGAGTTTTAGCAACAGTGGTTTTCATCAGAATGGCCGCAGGCACCGTGCAGCAACCTTTGGTGATGTACAGATATGGGAAACCAGTAGATGCCACAGAAATGGAACCTTTGACTCGCACTGCTGGCTGAGCATCATCCTGCAGCCGGCAAGCATCGGAGTAGAAAGACCAAGGTTCTGAAACAGGAAGAACGTTGCTCCCATGCTCATCTCAGTTCTAGAACGTGTGCCTGCACAGGTGTCAGAGACCCAGGCCTCCATTTGCTGTGTGGCCATGGGCAGACCCGAGGTCTCTCTGAGCCCCAAGCTCCTCCTCTCTGCAGGGTGAGGACTTAACAGTACCAAGGGTGGGTTTACTCTAAGAAGAAATAAGGAGTGTACAGTGACCGGGCCCTTCAGGTCTCCATCAGTGGGCACTACCACATAGCTCCGGGCATGGCAGAAGTTTGGGCAGTGGCTAAAACATCCACCACTACACCTGCAGGCCCCATGCTGCTGCGGCAGCTGGAAAGTCCTGAGCACAGTATGGGCGTTCTGACCAGAGGCTCTGGGGGCAGAGTCTGGCACCAACATGGCAGTGAGGAGCCCTGAGCAACTTAACCATCTTCTATAGGATGACATGTTCGTGGTTGACATATGCACACAGCCCTTAGTACTACACACGGTGCAGAGGCATCCCTGCTCTGTGTGTGTGTGTGTGTGTGTGTGTGTGTGTGTGCTCACATGAGTGCACATGTGTGCCTGTGCATGTGGAAGCCGGAGGTCAACCTTGGATACTGTCCCTCAGGAGCTGCCACCTTATTTTTTGAGCATCTCTCATTGGCTGGGGGCCAATGATCCCAGTAGCTGGCCCAGGGTGGGAACTAGCCCCAGGGATCCTCCCTGGCGCCAGGTTTATAAGCATGTGCCACCATGATCGACTTTTCCCCCCACCCTGTGGGTTCCAGACTTGCACAGCATTCAGCAGATGACAGATCCATCTCCCCAGACCCGGAGGAGTCCCTATCCTTACCGGTGACACGGAGTGGAGGGGCTGACAGGTGCAGGGATCGCCGGGGCTCACAGGGCTGTGGAGAGATTAACACACAAGCTTGTTTTCAAAGGGCAGATGGCAGCTGAAAGGCTCTGGAACCCGAGTCTGAACCTGAGCAGCCTGGAAAGCTCCTGCCCAGGGCATCAGGGTGGCCCCGGTCTGCTGTCCAGGGTGCAGTGTTATGGTAGGTCTGGCTGGCTGCCCCTCTACTGTTCAAGCTCTGGCCCTGAGATCCATTCCTCCCCACCTATGACCACTCAGCTCTTCAGGGGAGCTCCACCATCTTCCCCTTTAGGAAGGCCTCGGTGTGGTCCGGGTGAATCCAGTTCCCACCCTTGCTGCCTGTTCTGTGCTCTGCAACTTGGGCAAGCCCTGGGACCTCCATGAGCATCCTGTCTGTGAGGGAGGTGGGAATGTTCCTACGTGACCTGAGGGAAGGTTCTAGCACGCTGGCCTGGGGCTTCTGTGACAAGGGCCACAAACTCGGTGTTTTAAAAGGAACACATATTCCTCGCTGCACAGTCGGGAGGCCTCGAGTCCAATGTGGCTCTCAGTAGGAGAAGTCAAGGTTGGCAAGGCTACCCTGGAGTTAGCCAGTCCTCTGGAGGCTCCAGTAGCGACACAGCTCAGTTAGTGATGCTTGCTGGACAAGCATGAGGAACAGAGTTAGATTCCTGGAACCCATGGAAACCAAGGTGAAACCACTGGAGGAGAAAGGAGGATTCCTGGCTAGCTACTGGAACTGGCAAGCCTCAGGCCAATGAGAGACTAGAGGCCTCCTAGTGTGGCTGAGGCTCCTCCTCCATCTCTACAGCCAGCCATGCTGCCCCATCTTCACATGGTGCCTCTCTGAAGCTTTCCTTGATGTCACAGAGGGACATAGATAGTCCCCCACTATGGAGAGCTCAGGAGATCTGATGGGACCACCCGGGTCATCCAGGATAGTCTCTCTACCTCAAGGGCATGGGAGCAGCCGCCGACACCAATGACGGTACTCTGTCACTGTAGCTGAAGTTGGACTTGGCGGACTGAGGTCACTGTGTCTGATGCCAGCTTCTGACTGAGCATCCACACTGTTTTACCAATTCAGACATGATCCTTAGTCGCCCCTGAGCCTCAGTGTTTCCATATAAGAAATGGGTGTAGTGACAGTACTCTGTCCACACTCTATGAGAAGCATCCTATGGAGCCTAGGCTAGCTGCTCCTGTATCACAGCCTGCACAGGGGCACCGAGCTTCCATGACAGAGCTTCTATCTCGTTAGTCAGCCAGAGGTCCTGAGGAGCCATGCTCTGTTTACACATGTGGGTCAGAGGTCAGCCAAATGATACATGGCCAGGAAGTGACCTCATCTCGACGTTGACCTGTGGACAGATGGCGGTCTTAGTCCTGCTGCCCTCCTGAATCTAAAGGACCTTGAGTGTGAGAGGTCTGGGCTGCAGGAGACCAGGAGTCAGGGAGCCGGGAGCTCTGACTTCCTGACAATCCAGCGGCCCAGGAATGGCCTTCCTCCACCCAGTTGTCCATTCCCAGAACTCAAAGCGTCTGCAGGGTGGGGGCCACCAAGGGACTCTAGAGTTGAGGTCAACCCCAGAGAGCACACACAGCCGGGATACTAGGCTAATGCTCCTCTCCGAGCCTCAGTTTCCTTCCCTGTGTTTGTACTGAGTCATACACACTGCTACAAAGGGAGACAGGCCACCTGTCATGGAAAACACGCCAGGCAGAGCCTCTGCAGGTTCCGTTTGGGGACCCCTCCCCCAGGCACATATAGGATTGGTGTCCCTACTGACTATTTCCTCCACCTGGGTTAGGATCAGGGCCAAAAAGACGCTGCTAGATGTGACCTCACCCCATTAGCCCCCGTCCTGGACCAGCTGTCTAATCAGCAGCCTTCTGAGCCTCGTCTTAGATGTAACATTTGTTATTTTATTGGAAAAAGCTGGTATTAACATATTTATAATTTTATTCAACAGTTGGATAGTTTGTGAGACACCGAAGAAGAAAACAAGAATGCACCTATGAGCCACGGAACCCCAAATGACTGGGCCTGACTATGTTACCAGCATGGACAAACCCAACACCCTCCAAGGGCTTTGCCCTCAGAGAAGAACCAAGGCAGAAGAGAGAAACTCAAAACCCCCAACAATGTCGCGATGATTATGGAAAAGCCACATATTCGAGACCAGAGAACTTAAGCAGAGTCAGGTAGCAAAGTCTGTGGCTTGGCTCTGGTCCCTCTTCCTCACACTGCCCCTCCCCCCCCCCCCCACAGCTCTGTCCTCAATCAAGACACGCAGCGCTATTTGCAGTCTGCTCTGGGTGGTGTCCTCGGGTTTCTCAAAGACGTGCTTTTCTTCTGAGATCGTGTTCTGTCTCTCTTTCCTTCCTACTTTGGTACCCAACGTTTAAAACGTAAGTCTAGAAACGAGGGACATACGAAAGACCCCTCCTTTTGAAGACCATGTGAGATCGAACTTCGAAGACAGTACACGTGACACCTGCAATCTCACAGCAGCAGCCAGCTCCCGAGACAAGTATCCTTTCTAATGCCGAACTGCAAAGGCAGGCGGGTGTGCCAGAGATCCAGGCCAGCATGTAAGGAAGGCCCTCTCACCTGGATTTTGGCTTCAATGAGATTTTTGTACAACTGGCCACATTCTTCAACTTCTTTACAAGAGGGGAAAGTCGCCCGATCTTTTGATTGCTCACTTTAATCAGGGTCAATATGTACATATAATACTGTCCAGAGCGCCTGGATTTTACAGTGATGGATAAACATTCTTCATTCACGTTGATTTAAAAATAAACTAAAAAAAACCCCAAAAATGTAATGGACCCAGTTTCTGTGTAAATACATGACCGGAAGTGAGTGTGCATGCAGTTTGTGCTTTGACACACACAAGGATACCTTGATCCACTGAGAGAAAAAAAAAAAGCTCCATTGCATCTGTTTCCTGGTCAGCAGGTCAATCCATGTTGTACAAAACGAAAGCCCCTCTGCTCTCTGCTTCCAGAGTCAAAATGCCAAGTCCTGCAGTTCTGGGATTCCAGGAGGGAGGATGGGGGAGGGGTCACTGAGTGGCCACTGGCCTGTGGCTCTGGGGAGGGCTGCCTGGCTGCATGCAACCTCCTCGGGGAGCAGCTGAGAGGGCGAGGAAAAAAGCTGCAGGTACAATGGAGGCGAAGTGCATCTGGGAGGCATGCCCGGATGCCACCAAGCAGAGCGGGGAGCCACTGCCCATCTTCTCTGTCTTCTCTCCCGTGTCATCTTGTCACCGGTGTACCTGCTCGGGCTTCACAAAGTACAGATGCTCCTCTTCCAGAACTTTCCATTGGGATGCTGCTTAAAAACTAGTCACCAATGCGGTGGGCCGGAAAGAGCCCGTGGAAAGACCTGCATGGGACCCCAACTCAGCCCTTGGGGTGTGACTCCTTAGGCACCCCGTTTCTCTGTTTTAGTTTCCTCCTATGTACAAAGGGGATGAGAACCACACCCCATGCCTCATGGCTTGAGGATTCTGCAGTCGGGGACAGGACCCACTGTCAGCTGCGGGAAAGATGACTGGCTAGCATGGGAGGGTGACAGCAAAACCACCACAGAGTGGGCTGTGGGGATCCATCCACAGCCACTATGGACTGAGCACCATGCCCAGCGTGCAGTGGGCACTCACAAACGGACGGCAGTGAGGTAAGGGCTACAGCCACACAGGGTCCCCAGTCCTGCCTCTCAGGACTTGCCCCAACCTGGAAAAGCCACACAAGGAACCTAGCCCTGCCTCAAGATTAACCCTAGGACTTCGGCTCTGCCTCTCAGGACCTGCCCCGGCCTGGCACCTAGGATACAGAATGGCATCCCAAACACCCCAGTGGGGAGCTGGCATTGCCAGCGCTCAATGAAAATGCATCGTCCAAAATCCAACATGAGCCAGCAGCTCCGAGCCAGGGCACGTGGCTGGCTCCTTTGAGGACCCACCGATCTTGCCTGGCTTGGGAGCTTCACTCTCGGGAGCCCCATCAGGGACCAACTTGACTTTCCCTGATAGGAACTGACCCACTGCGGTAAAAATCACCCCTGGACCTGAATCAAGTCCTGATAATAAACAAAGGCCCAGCCTGAGGCAGAGGGACCGTAAACAAAGGAACCCTGGCCTGAGGCCCACCCTGGACCGAGGCCCACCAGGCACATCCATCCTATCGCCTGTGACTGAGGCTCCTTCCTTTCCTCTGTTTAAACCGGCAATTGCCATCCAAGGCAATTCCAGCCTAGGGACTCACGTCCCCACAATGGCCACCGTGCTCATCTTGCCCTCCTACAGAGGTGGCCAGGAGGGCCACTGAGGCCAGCTAGTGCATGTCAGAATTGACCTTATCCTGGAAGATGTACAGGTTGTTGGTGGCCGCAATGGCGATGATATTCTCGGCTGGGTGCCAGGCCGTGTGCAGGATCTTCTTGGTGAAGTCCAAGCTGTCCACACTGATGTCATCACGCCGCCGCTTGCCGCCCACACACACGCGCCGGGGCTTGAGCACGGCCCTGGGTTTGCTGCTCTCTCTGGAGGCCTCCAAGGTCACATCCCGCTTGGTGTTGCGGTCGAACATGCGGAAGAAGTTGTTGTAGGCCCCGGTCATGATGACACTGGGGAGAGAAGAGGACTCGGTGTGGGAAAGCAGAGGGGACGCGGGCACTGATGGGCTGTCACTCCTGGGACAAGGAGCTTTGTTTGCCTCTCTGCCACCTTTCTGTCGGTGTCCCTCCCCCGCTTCCATCTCAGCTGCCATTTCTACTTTAGGACCCTTTCACGTCGCCCCAACACTACGGGTACCTTCCCATCATTTGTACACAACCTAAGAGATACAATGCTTGCTTGTAGCCCCAGGGGCAGCAGAGACAGGGGTGACATTGAGATGTGACCGTGGCTGTCCCAGAGCCTCTGTACCTGCCGGGCCTATCTCCCCTCCACAACCTGAGTGGCTAAGCCAGTGGATAAATTAGTGCTCATTGCCATGGATCTCATGGAGTGAGGCACATACCACAACAGACAAGGGGACCCTGGAAGCAGACTTCTGCTCTATGCCTTCTGCTCCATGGACTTTGTCTAGTGAGACATGATGTAGATTCATCCCGTGATGCATGTGGAAAGCAGGGCTGGGCCTAGAGAAAGGGTTTGGGCTTGGGCCTATGGGAGGCTGGAAAAGCTGTGGCGAGAGAAGGAGGAAAAGCCCAGGGAGGGGGAGCTGTTTAACCACAGAGGGCTCCACAGAGGAGGGAATATTTGAACTGTTTCAGTGGCTGATGAAGAAATAGGCCTACACCAGTTTTGTTTATACAGGTTGCAGAACACCACTTCCTTGTGTGTATGCATACGTGTGTGTGTGGGGGGGTGTCATTCAGCCTAAGACATCGGCACAGGCTACATAAAGCCACTTTCCAGGGGGCTGATGCAGATGAATTCATCTGGTCCTAGTCGGGGAGTGAAAGCTAAGGACTAGAACCAAAGCTGGGTCCCGTGCCCCGAGTCAGCGATGCTGGAGGGGAATGAAGGTGCCACCTTCACTCAGGGAGCGACACAGCAGCCCGCCGTGGGTCCATTTACTAAGGGGTGTACGCCCCCTTTGAGTCTAGCAGAGCGGACTGTGGACCTCAAGCTTGCCTTAAAGGGATGGGCACTTTGTTTCTCCTCTTCGCCTTGGGCCCCTAGAATGTAGGCATTGCGGTCCCTGTTCACAGACAGACCAGGCAGAGGAAGGCAGAGGCAGAAGGAAGGGGCAGATTGCTGTTTACTACCCAGAAATATGGACAACTATTGATTGGATACTCTCCTAAGGTCCCTCCCACCAGACATCTCTTCCAGTGCCGGTGGCGGGAACAAGTCCAGAGGTGACAAGAATTTGTCATTTCATAAATAACAAGCTACAGGAAGAAAGCCCAGGATTCTGTGGGGCAAGGCAGAGAGCACCAGGACAGCTTCCCGGAGGAGACGGCAGTGGAGCAAGCCTAAGTAGCATGTGCTTCAGCAGGATCCCAGAGTCAGGGAGAGTGGATGATTGTGAAGGAAGAAAAGGAGGCATGGGACACATCTATGCGAAGGATCAGGCAGAAGTAGGCTGCTGAGCCCCGGTGCTGGGCCTCCCTCAGTCCGAGAGGCTTGCTGGTGTCTGTGCTGGGCTTAGGGATTGTCTGGTTACATGCGTCCCCTGGTGGCAACATGAAATGCAGGCAGTGGGTGGTAACTTCAGCCATCTACCCTAATATCCTGCCTTATTATTGTCCTTCAGTGGACACTCTGGACCACCACACGCGTGCTCTGTTCAGCATGGTTATATCACAAGCCCCTGCAGAACTGGTGGACCCTTGAGGTGACAGCAGCTCCCATGTGGGTCCAGGCCTGCTCAGAGTGGCTTCCTCAGAGTGATCCAGTCTCTGTCACCACCACCACTACTTGAACACCACTCGTTGAACATAGCCACCCTGACGGGCCAACTCAGAAGCTCTGGGGCATCCTGCCCACCCAGGCGCAGGGCAAATGCCTGCAGATGCCACCTGTGTGGATCCACCCCCTGGATGGAGGGGAGTTTGGACTGAGGCTCTCATGCCACCGCTTCTCGCCTGCCGATGGAGGGACAGGGAATGCGGGGAGGGAGGTGATGCCTCAGAGGCTCCCATACAAACACATGCCAGGTCCTATGCTGCCCTGGTCACCTGGAGCCTCTCTCCTTCATCTGGGCAGGAGGATATGCAGCTGTCCCTCCACAGGAGACCCTGAGAGGCTCACCTACCAGCCTTTGCACTGAAAAGCCACAGGCAACTAACTGAGCCTGAGGCCTGTGGGGCCTAAGAAAGCATGAGTGGGGACAGGGAAGCAATGTCCCCTCCCCAGTAGAAAAGCTTCTGAGCTGTGGCGGGGATGGGGGAAGCACACGGGAAGGCAGGCTCTTGGGTACAGAGGGTACAGGGGAATGAGGTAGAATGGAGGATGCAATGGGCCCATCCACATCACTGTGCTGGGTCCAGGCTGTGGCAACACAGGAGCCTGTGCCATGTACTAGGGTCTGTGTTCCAGGCTGTGGGATGGGAGCGGTGCCTCACCACGAGGTCACTAGTTCAAGTTGTGAGCCCCAGAGGACCCGTGTGAGGCTGCCAGCGCGATGGCAGGAGGAAAGCGTGGGTGGCCCAATGCCTGTCTGTCACCCGAGGGCCTGGCGTGTGGGAGGCACCTGGCTGATCCTGACTTAAAATCCCACAGCACCCTAGGGCAGGGGGTTAAAGTGGGTGTCAGCATCAGTCACAGGGGGGAAGCAAAGCTCACTTCTCAGCCCTGAGCTTGAGTTGGAGAGCTCTGCCTGCTAGGGAGGAGACCTCCCACACCGCGACCTGGCAAAGTGCAGCTTTGTGATCACAGACGACAGAAAAGATCCCTCCCGGGGTGAAGGGTGAGGGGCACGGCAGGGTGGCTGAGGCTGGGTGCCTGCAGCTGGCTCACCTGTCACTCCCATTCCATGCACACTCAAACTTGTCAAAGATGCAGTCACTCTCATACAGGGAGCAGAGCTTACTCCGCAGGTAGTCGTGGACCTGGAGAGAAGAGGGGAGAGGCTGAGCAATGGACACCAAATAGCCCCGACATCTCCATGGGACCGATGGTCTCGGCACAGCCCTGCACGCACAGCCCTGCACGCACAGCCCTGCACGCACAGCTGACCCGGAGCTGTGGGGCCTGGAGACAGCACCGGGGGAGCCGCATCCTTAGAGGAAAGGGAGCGTTCACCGCTCAGAGACTGTAGAGCCTGTCACTGGCAAGGTGGCCAAGGGTGGGCACTGCTGTCTACAGTCTAGGGGCCACTCATCCCTCCTGCTCTAGACTTTGGCTCACGGCCCTACCGTGCTGTGTCACCATCCCCATGGTCCCACCTGCGTGGGACCCCAGAGGACCAAGCCAGAGCGCTACATCTCTCTGATCCCTGAGGCCAGCACCCAGAGGTACACTGACCAAAATCAAAGGGTCCCATGGTGCTGCCAACCCTGTCAGCAGGGGGCGTCGTTAAGTTCCTGTCTGCTCTCACAGTCATTAGCGGGTCCAAGCACAAGTGTGGCAGATTCTCCTGCGTGCCAAGCCTTGTTTGCTCCCCGGGGGCAGGAGGAGATGCTTCAGCTATGGGAAAAGAGTGAGCACCAGACTTTCCGGGCCTGCCGTGAAGGATGTTCCATGCCTATGAACCCAGCGTCTTCAAGAACCACGGGCTGAGGGAGATGGTGAAGTCTTGGGACGATCCCACTCCTTGCAGCCCCTTCCAAGACTCTTTTTGATGGATGAATTAGCTCTCGCGTGTCAAGGACTGCAAGCTGGCCAAGCACAGTCCCCACTATATACAGTTTCCAGGACACCAGAGTCACCTCCAAAGACACGAGTGGGAGTAGTCATTAATCATTGCTGTTTTATTTTATTATTTTTTAAAAAACATTTCTTATAGTTTATTTAACTTTTATTTTATGTGCATTGGTATGAAGGTGTCAGATCCCCTGGAACTGGATCTTCAGACAGTTGTGAGCTGCCATGTGGGTGCTGGGAATTGAACCCTGGTCCTCTGGAAGAGGAGTCAGTGCTCTTAACCACTGAGCCATCTCTCCAGCCCCAATCATTGCTATTTTAGAACCTGTAGGTCAGCTGTACAGAGAGCCAGGCACCGAGCTTCAGCACTGCTGAAAACAGTAATGCTGCCCCTTCACCGGGGTCCCCCAGGCTTTCAGAGGCCCCGAGGCTCCACACTCACCCCTCCCTAAGAAAACATTTATATACCTAGGCCTGTGCTGTCTGCAGGGTGTTGTGATGGCCCCAGGGGGCTGGGAAGGTGCTGGTTCAGTCACCTCACAGAAGGTCATTTCCGACCTCAGTCTTGGGCTGCTGACACTTTCACAGGGGACACAAGAGGGCCTGTCCCTGTCTAGAGTGTACAGGGCAGGACCTAGAGAAGCGGGGAGCCACAGGCCCTGCCCACTGCTAACAAAGGAGAGGTTGGGTCAATGGGAGGTGTCCTGTGAGGATGTGGCTTCTAGGAGTCTCTTCCGGAAGCTTTTCCCCTTGGGTGCACCTCCTCTGTTTTGGTAGGAGAGGAAAAGGGCTGAGCTCTGGGAAAGGGGCTGAGCTCTGGGACTGCCACCACTGGGCTGAGACGCCTCTGTCACCCTTCAACTTCCCAATGTCCCTGTCTGCAGAATGGGCAGTCAGTATCTGCTTTGCCAGAGCAGGACAAAACAGGAGATGGGCACGTGTGGACACACACACACACACACACACACACACACACACACAGCCCTGTGGGTGCAGGTGGGGTTTCTGCCAGCCGGCTTGACTCCTTATCTGCCAATCCAAATCCCAGGCGACCTTCAAGGCCCAGTGCAAATGCAGCTGCCTCCAGAAAGCCCTCCCCCTGCCCCTCCCCCCTCCGCCTCCGCTCCCCTTCCCCCCCCCCCGCCACACATGTGCCAGACATCAACAAGCTACACCACATATGTGTTGTTTTAACAGCAAGTCAGCTTTATCCGGTGCTCCACCAAGAGACCTGGCAGGATGAGGAATAAAGCTTCCCCAGAAGTGCTCAGAGGTCCACCCTGGACACTGGCTCAAAAGACTAACTACCCTGAGGGTCTAGAAACATCTCCCACGTGGCCACTGAACGCAGTCCACACCCAGATGTTTCTTTCATCTTACCTACTTGGTGATAAGGCTGTGGGTGCCGGGGGTGGCATCTGCACTCTGACTTCAGGCCTGGCTTCATGCCTTTCTTTGCCTCTCCCTCCCCTCCTTTCCCAGAAACCGGGGTTCTAGATGCAGATGGCAGTCCCATGCAGGAGCCTCCTCAGCACCCCCGTGGCTGGGCTGGAAGACTCTCTGCAGCTTCATCTACAATGCAGCCCCCTGTGGGGGTGTCAGCACAAGGAAGGGGGCTGTTCCTGGGAGATCTCACCCCACACAGAGGGCCCCCGAGGCTGCTAGACCTCCATACACACCTGGTAGGTCTCTATGGGCCTCGCCTCCATGTTCAGGTCCCAGACCTTGACCGTGAGGTAATCCCTCGTGAGCATGTAGCGCCCACTGTGGCTGAATTTCACATCGGACACCGAGGAGATGATCTCTGAGAAGAAGGAGCGGTTGCTGGGGTCCTCGGGCTCTTCAAAGACTGCGGAGAGAGAAGCAGCGGCTGTCGTCGACTGCCTTTCACAGTCAGAACCACACAGCCCACTGTATCCGGCTTAGCTGTCTGTCTATAGCATCATCATTCATTCACTTGTCAAGCCTTTCACAAAACACCTACCAAAACCCTTGGTTCTAAGAACCCTCCAAAGAGGGAAAGCCCTGAAAGGGCTTCCTTGTGGAATGATGTTAATGGAGTATCTACTGTACTGTGAACGACTTCATCTAATCCCCTAATAAAAATGGCAGGGTGGTAGCCTAATGATCCCCATTTTATATCCAAGAAAACTGAGGCTGAGAGTGAATCCATGTGCAGCTCTCAGAGGCAGATGAAAGTGGGATATTTGAACCCAGAGCTACACCGGCTGCAGTGCTCTGCTGCCCCCTACTGGCAGTGCAGAGCTGAAAGGTTCTTGGCAGTCTCTAGGCTGGGCCTGTGGTTCTGGTCCCAGGTCTTCAGGCCAGGAGCTGCCTCTGGACATGCGCAGTGAATGCCTGTGGTCATGCCCCTGAGTAGCCCTGGTGGCAGAGCAGATAGGGACCATGACTGCTGTGGGGCTGGCATTAACTCCCTGGGCTCTGTGGGCAGACGGGGGTGGGGGTTGCTGGCAGCCCAGCCATCATCTAAGCATCTCCAACCTGTAGAGCCAGCCTCAGGAAGCCACTGAGTGACAGCCCTGACCACTGCCTCACTGGGAGAAGAGGGCTGGCCACAGCTCCCAAGAGACTTGGGACAGACCCTTCCGGTGAGCCCCTGGGGAATCACAGGTGTCATGGCCTGCCTCCTGGAGGCCTCCCTTTGCCTCTCATCTGGGACCTGGCATTGCCCTCCTGTCCAACACACATGTCATTGCTGCCCTAAGCTGTCCAGAGCCCCCACAGGGCATCTGAAGATTCTGACTTCCCTGCTAGGCACTCTCAGTCAACAAGCCCACGCCGAGTGCCTGTGACGCCCTGGGTTCTGTTCAAGGTACTAGGTGAGTGACAAAAGATGGAGGCAATCCACCCTGGAGCCTGGCCCAGTCCTGCCGCCCCTCCTGAGCCCCATCACTCACAGGCCCTTTCCAGGACACAAGGTTCTCAAGGATCAGGGGAAGGGTTGAGAGGGAAGAAGCAGGCACCCTGGGAAGGGAAAGCCATGTCAGGAGAAAGAGGCTGCACACCCTCTTCTCCAAGCCCAGCCCCGGCGTTAACCCCCCAGCAGTGGCCCAGCCCAGAAGGAACAGAAGCACTGAGAAGCTGAATGTAGCAAAGCTCTCTGACTACTGACTGACAACTGTCCGTCCCCTGCTCAGCCTTATACAACTGGTCCCCATGAGACAAAGTAAAATCTGTCCCTAGTTGGGGCCTCTCAAGAACTGACATGATTTGGCACCCATTTCTGAGTCCCACTATTCCTTATACTGTAGCATGCAAAGGGCACCCCTGGGGACGCTCTGGGCCTCACTCCCCAGGCTTGTTCTGCCAGAGCAGCCCCTTCCCACCACACTAGTTAAGAACGCTATATTGAGAATCTTGAAGATTCTCTTAAATCTTGAGATGGGATGGGGATTTGCACTGGCTGCCTAGGGGCTGGAGTGACAGCCGTGAGCTGAGAAGCGTGGCGGCTTCAGCAGCTGGAAAGGACAAAGGAACAGCTGCTCTTAAAGGTAGCGTGCCCACACCCTGACTAGATCTCTAACCTCCACAACTATACAGAACACGCGTGTGCTGTTTTAAGCCACAGGGAAGAAAGCTCTCTCGTGGCTCCCGGGTGATAACTTCAGGAAGCAGAGGAAGAGCACGTGCCCTTCCTGGGTTAAGGGGTACCCATGGCTCTACCCTGGGAGGCTCTGAGCATCTGATGGTGTGCCATCCTTGAACAACTCAGCCACTGTTAGCTGCAGGTGTCCCAACAGCCATTTGCCATTCACGTTGCTGGAGCCCCAAGACGGTGAACCATCATCCCCACCCACTCTGACCAAACGCATGCTCAGTACTCAGCCCTTCCTTCTCGCAGACTCTGCTGTCAAAAGCAGAAATAACTGTCTATTCTGAAGACTCATGGATGGCTGTTTCTATGGTTACCTTGTCACGGTGCCTAGCAGACAACAACCTGGGTTTCGCCTAGTGTTTTCGAGAGAGCTGAAGCCATGGATGGGAGTACAGGATAGCCAGTGTACCCCAGCCTGACCTGGTTCACACAGGTCTCAGGAGCTCCCATGCTCCTTTGACCTTCGGCCTCCTCATCTGCTCAGTGCCAGGTCTGATGAGCACACAGTGGTCCCAATGCTTCTCACTAAGTGAGTCATCCCGTTAGGAAAGGAGGCTGTGGGCAGGACCCTAGGGGGGGGGGTAACTGACAGCAACGCTCTGGCTTTTAAACATAGAAGTGGGAGGCAGAGAATCAGTCAAAGCTCCAGACTTCTACAAATCCAGCTGGAATGATGGCCATGGCTAATTAAGAACAACATGTGCCTGGCCACTGGGAATCAGCTGCTCAACTTCTCATGAACACTGAGAACAAACACTATGAATGAGACACACAGTTTAGGGACAGTTGTCCTTGTAGTGGCATCGAAGTGTAAGATGTTATGTGGCAAATGGCATGGTTTGATGTAAGAGTGTTATCTAGGATGCTCTTGGTTAGGGTCCCATCTACTCTGGGGTCGGGAGGCAAGCAAGTGAAGATTGAGTCTGGATTCTGGATTCTACACAGGTGACTTAGAGGGTGAGGAAAAAATTCCATAAGAATGTAAAATATAGAATTAACTGAAATAGAACACCTGTATGAGCCTGGTTTACAGGAGCTAGTTCCAGGACTACAGAGGCTCCAAAGCTACAGAGAAACCCTGTTTTGAAAAACCAAAACAAAACCAACAACAAAAAGCCTGTATGAGCTGGGAAGTAATGGCGCACGCCTTTAATCCCAGCACTCGGAGGCAGAGACAGGCAGATCTCTGTGAGTTCAGGCCAGTCTCCTCTACAGAGCAAGTTCCAAAGAAACCCTGCTTGAAAAACCAAAACCAAACCAAACCAAAAAACCCCTAATGGAAAAACAAACCAAAACCCCTGTGTGAAGCACCATGCTGGCTAATACTCAGGCCTAGGCTCACCTAGTAGACAAGCACTCAGGCACTGGTGAGAACCTGGCTGACTGGGCTGGCTTCTGGGCTATCTTAAGTTCTTTGAGGCAGGAAGACTCACCCTAACAGTGGGAGGCACCATGCCCTGAGCTCGAATCCTGAGCGGCACAAAGAGAGAGCCGGCTGAGCACCCGCAGACACCTCTCTGCGTCCTGACTGCGGATGCAATGTGGGCAGCCCCTCAGGCTCCTGCTGCCATGCTGTCCTCGCCACCACAGACTGTAACCCCGACCTGTGAGCCAACATGAATCCTTCTCCCTCAAACAGGTGCTTTAACCAGAGCAACAGGAAACATAACTAATCCAGAGAGCTGGTGCCAGGGAGCGGGGCTGTTGCTGTGATGAACCCTAAGCCTCTAGAACTGATGTAAAGGAGGAAGGTGGGAGAGCTTGGAGGTTTGGGCTGGAAAAGCCCTTGGATGCTGTAGGCAGAGCGTAAGCTCTCCTAGTGAGAGCTCGAAAGACAAGAATGCTAAGATAAATTTGGACAGTGGAGGCCCCGGCTCATGAAGTTACAGAGGGAACAAGGGCTCCATCAGGGGGTGGGCTGGGGGACATCCATGTAGATCTGGAAAAGGTTCTGACTTTATATGTAAATGTCTGTTGGGAGCTGCAGACCCTCAGACCCTGAACTTTCTATGACCCCTTGCCTGCCGGAGTAAACAATTTACTCTTCTATGCTTGCAGCTGCTCTGAGCACAGAACCCTCATGAGTTCCTGATAACAAGGAAGTGCTTTCTGGTGGGCTTGCAGTGGGAAATCCCGAGAGCTGGGCGTGACCACTGGTTAAGGAGAACACTATATAAACTGCCTTGGAACGTAATAAAATCGGCATTCTTGCTTCAAGAGTGACTGTGTCTCTGTGTGTTCTTTAATCCCCAGGCCCTTGCCCAACCACGGTTCCAGGTGGAGCAGGCACCACAAAGGTCAAAGTTTAAAGGTCATGAACTAATTTGTCTGGTAGAGGACATTCTAAGACAGAAAAGCATATAAGCTTGGCATGATTGTTTACTGTGCTTATGTAGGTCCACAATTTAAAAAAAATAACAATTTGAGCATAAAGATATTTTTAAATGTACAGTTTGTCAAGAAGAAAAAGAGTCCAAGGAAGCTAAAAGGTGCACCGGAGACAGGAGCTGAAAGGTGGCTAGGATTGCTGCAGAGAGTGTCCCAGCTTTACACCGGGAAAACAGAGAAATCTGCCCCGAGGGCAAGACCCATCCATCAAAAGGCTCAAACTCATGAAAATGCAGTGTCTGAAAGGAAAGTGCAGCTGGAGGGGTTCCCTGCTCACTGCCAAGGGACCTCCCCCCACCCCAAGGATCAGCCTACAGAATCTGATACAGCTGGGGTCCAAGGAGGCCAGGCTACACCTCACACTGGTAGCAGAACTTGGCGGCATCATCCAACGGGTACTGGTTTTGTAGGCATGAAATATTTGAGAGTGAGGAGGTCATGGAAGCTGGTGCCAAGATTCTAGAAAGCCACTGAAGCCAGATTGTGTGGTAGTATAACCTCCCCTGCAAGGGGCCCCTGCAGGTCACTGTGTAAGCTCAGATGGTGAAGACAACATTGTAATGGAGACCCAAGGATGCTGGAGAAGCCAGGACCATGGGACATGCACCAAGGAAAGCTATAGGTGCAGAGTAGACCTGTCCTGAGAAAGAGGCTATGTGTACTGTGGACAGCAGATGAATAGGTATGGCTACTTAAGCTCTTTGCTGCCCTGTTGAGTCCATCAAGGGTCCCAGATACTGGGCATGGAGTGGACAGATTTGGTATTTACACTGATAGTTTGGTCTTCCGAGAGATATCCTAGCTTCCAAGGGATAGTTAGCTATCCCTTGCTATGTATGACTTCACTCTTCCCCTCATTTCACTATGTCATTATATGTTGGGAGCACTGGCTTATTTGTTATTTTACCTTTTCACAATTAAGAGATTGCCTTGCATCTTAGATAAGATTTGGTCTTTAGACTTTTAAATGATGGTGGAATGTTAAAAAGACTATGGGGACTTTTGAAGTTGGACTGAACATAGCTTGTATTATGAGATGGTTATGAGCCTATGGAGATGAGAGATTCTTTTTTAAAAAAGAATGGCTTAGAAGTAATGTGTTGGGGTGTCGAGGTAGCAAGAGGTACAATTATAATGGCAATTATTGACTGTCAATAATTGTCAGGACCTAGAATCACCCAGGGATGAACCTCTAGGCATACCTGTAAGGGATTACATGATAAGGTTAACAGCAATGTGAAGCCCCATCCTAAAAGTGGGTGGCACCATTCCCCAGGCTTCAGTTCTGGACTGCATAAAAAGGAGAAAGCTAACTGAACACACGGCATTTACCTCTCTGCTTCTTGACCGTGGATGCAATTTGACTGGCCACCTCATGTTTCCACTGCCATGACCTCCCCTGTGTCAGGTTCCAAAGAAATCCAGGACAAACACATGGCTAATGGGGGTGCTTATTAGCATACTATTAGCATGCTGGCTGCCAGGCTCCCTCAGTACCTTGGGTTCTCCTCTGCTCTTCTCACTCCATCCCCCATCCTAAACCTCTCCAGTCCAGGGACTTCGCTTCCCTGCCCCTAGCTTCCCTTTCCTATATAACCCTGCCAGTTTGGTCATGTACGCGCTTCCCACTTCTCTCACAGCTGAGTTCAGTCTGGATTCTTCCGGATGCCTCGAGCTGTACGCTCCTGCACATCTACAGTAAAAACCTTCTTCATAGCTTGGAGCAGTCAGGTCCTCATTTTCATATAATGATGAACAGTAGCATCAAATTGTGAGCCAGGAGAAACCTCCTCTGCTTTATTGCTTCTCTAGGGTATCTTCCCACGGCAACAGGAAAAGGAGCAAAGATAACCACTAATCCGAGAGAGAAACTGAACTCAGTGGCAATAACAAACAAAACCACGAGGCTAGAGAGAGGGCTCAGTGGTTGTGTATTACTGCACTGCCAGATGATCCCAGGTTGGTTCCTGGCACTCGCACCAACAGCCTGCAAGGCCAGCTCCAAGAAATGATGCCCTCTTCTGGTCTCTGTGGACAATGCACTGGCGTGGACACACCTAACTCACAGATAGGCACATGATTAAAAGAAATATAATAAGCCCTTGTGTTAACAGAAAAAAAAAACCAAACATGTCTCTTCTTCAAAAGGACATCTGACAGATGTACACATGGTCTGTACAAAGCCCCTGGGGGACGGTTGTATGATGCCAACCTCAGGAAAAGGGAAGAGAGCAGAGATGAGAGCAAGGAAAGAGATATCTTGATTGAGGGAGTCATTATGGGATAGCAAGAAATCTGGCTCCAGAGAAATTCTCAGGAATCCACAAGGATGACCCCAGTTAAGACCCTAAGCAATAGAGGAGAGGGTGCCCGAACTGGCCTTGCCCTGTAGTTAAACTGATGAATATCTTAAATATCACCATAGAATCTTCATCCAGCAACTGATGGAAACAGAGGTGGAGACCTGTACGGAGCACTGGGCTGAGCTCCCAAAGTCCAGTTGAGGAGTGGGAAGAGTGAGAATACAAGCAAAGAGGTCAAGACCATGATGGGTTCACCCACTGAAACAGTCTACCTGAGCTAATGGGAGCTCACCAACTCCAGCCAGACTGGGAAGAAACAAGCATAGGACCAAACTAGTCCCTCTGAATGTGGGTGACAGTTGTATGGCTGGGGCAGACTGAAGGGCCACTGGCAGTGGCACCAGGACTTATCCCGACTGCTCGTACTGGCGTTTTGGGAATCTTTCTCTTTGGATGGATACCTTGCTCAGCCTAGATATAGTAGGGAGGGTTTTGGACCTTCCCCAAAGCAATGTGCCTTACCATCTCTGAGGAGTGGATGGGGAATGGGGTAGGGGGTATGTAGAGGGAATGGGAGGAGAGGAGGGAGTGGGAACCTGTATTGGTATGTATAATGAAAAAAGATAGTTTGTTTTCTTTTCTAAAAAAAATTTAAAAAAGGAAAGGGAGGAGAGCTGCCAAGCTCTTGGGAGGAGGGCAGAATAATGATAATAGCAGAGCAATAAGAGCACGGGAAGAGAAAACGACAAGCCAGCGTCACCTATGCACCCATATACAAATGCTCTTAAACCTGTAGATTGTCGTGTGCTGTGCAGCCCTGTTGACACATGGGACCATTGTAGTGCAGAGAGGCCCAGACATGCTGATGTAGCCAAATCTCCCAGATGAGCTACTGAGCAACCAAGCAATAAGTTCTGGGAACTGCTCAGAAGAGACCTGGCCCCCAGGACAGCCAGCCCCACTCAAAGTCCTCAGTGGTGGCTCCTTCTGCACCCCACCCCAGGAAACTGGGAGTGACAGACTGCAGAGATCAAGTGACTCTGTGGCTCTGGCTGCCACCTCTACCAAAGCACATAATCAGAACTGGCACAGAGCACAGACAGTACCAAAAGCCTCTCCCTGCCTTCAAAACTATCTCTCTCTCTCTCTCTCTCTCTCTCTCTCTCTCTGCTTCCATCTTCGGAACAAAGCAGTACCACTCTTTCTCTCATTCCCCCATTGAGCCTGCCAGCGCAATAGCTTCCCTGTGTCACTGAAAATCTTTGAAATATCTGAATGGCTTAAGTGTGTCTTAAATGATGTCACCATTGTCAAGGCGTCATCTACTCTGCTGGACCAGTGGGGTGACTCTGGCTTCTACCCACACTGAAGGAGGTATCGCTGAGCCTCTGCTCCCTCCAGGGGACACAGATAGGGCTCTGCCCAGAGCAGACCCAGGCTCCCCTAGGGCTTGACCCAGAGCAGGCCCAGGCTCCCCCATCTTTTCTTGCAGTCTGACAAAGAGTTGAACATGGACCCGGTTCAGGAATTCGTGCAATCTAGGCTGGCAGGGAGTGGGCACAGGCATCTGGAGCAATGCCCTAGTTGCCCCGCCCTGTTCGTTGATCCCCTTCCACTCTTTCCCTTTGCCCACATCATCTTTGGTAAAGTTTCCATCCTAAATTGTTTGCCCCTGTGGTTCCCTCCTTCCAAGACCTCCATGACTCACTCTCCAGAGTGTCTGTTCCTGGGTAACCCATTAGGGAGGCCATCCCTGCCCCTTTACCAGCCCATTTCTGGGTGGGGGTGCTCTAACCATCCTATGACAGAAACCCATGCCTACTGAATGTTCCTGATACACGGAGTATGGACAAACCTCGAAAGCTGCAGGGTGGGTATGGGGACAGGACTTGGTCAAGGAATGGGAAAGGAACTTGGGGCTCAGCCTGACTCCACTACTGGGCAGAACCTGGCCTCTGGGGGAGAAGCAAAATTCCATCACTCAACAGCTTGGACTGTCTGCACTTCCACTTCTCAAAAACCTGTCTAGTACCTACTGGAATCACCTATTTGTCTTCAGATTTTGTCACAGGCACTAGGGACAGCTGGGTGGTAGAAGAGGGGGTTACAGGCCTGTCCTCCTGGCTGGGGCCTGCCTGGGTAGAGGGGAAGGCAGCCCTTCAAAGCCCTCTCTGTTGGTAGGGGCCACAGTTTGAAGCCTTGGGCCCATCCTTGGGGCCTCAGTTTCCTCTTTCATTTCAGTAGATCCCTTGGAGCAATATGACCATCACCCGAGACAGGTAGAGCGTGGGAGACTTTGCCAGAGGTTTCAGAAATGACTCTTGCTATTTTCATCTCTATCCTGGGCCTTGCAGGCGCCCCCTGGCGAGGGTGAACATTATATATCCTGCCTCTAAGGAGCTCTCAGGGTGCTTCAGGGAGATAGCTGGTGGCTAGAACAACCCCCCAACCCATGGTGGTGCACCCACTTGCCAGTCCCAATATACCTAGTCCCTACCCACCCACCCGCTCCAGTGCAAAAACTTACGCTTAGAGTGCTTGTCGCACAGGGCAGCTGCCCGCATGTCACAGAGCCGCAGAGAACCCTTGCTGCTGCTGTAGACAAAGAGGTTGCAATGGTGGGGATGGAACTCGGATGCTGTGATCACCTCCGTGAGGTCTTCCATGTTGGCTGGCTTGATGTCGACGATATCTGGGTTGGTGAGGTCAAGGACAACAGTGAGGGTGTTTTTGCTCTCTCCCTCCATAAGGCCCAGGCCAAGCCCAATCAGGTCTGGTTTTTAAGACTCCCTACCCCAGCAACCAACACACCAGTCCCTAGTCCCCCAAGCCACATACTCACGTGGAAGACTGCTGCCCAACTCCCCTTCCCTATACCTGCTCACTGGCCCTGCAAAGCTGAACTCATACCCTCTTAGAGAAGAGTGACTGCCCAGCCCTGCAGTCACCATGGCTCTCTCCTGACAGCCTTCCTTCCTCTCTCAGTAGCCAAAGAGAAAGGGTGCTGAGTGTGCGCTGTCATGGTGAGCTGTCCCCCACAGGCTTGTCCCCCACCAGATGCTTGGCCTCTAGTCGCTGCTGCTTGGGGAGGGTCACTAGGGGCAGGACTTTGACGGTAACACCTGCCTCTAGTTCCTGCCTTCATCTCCTAGGTCATCCTATAAGCAGGCTCTGGCACACACTCCCACGGTCATGGACTATGCTCTTCCACCGTGCCTTCCCTGCCTGGGTCAAACTGTGAACCAAAACCAACTCTTTTATTCCATCAGGGGCTGTGGTCATGGAGACTCAGTAGGTGATGAACAGACACACCCACTACATGCTGGGCCATGGGCACCTTTAGTGAGTAATTTCACATCACTGCCCCACTGAACTGTGTCTGGACCATGTGCATAGGTTTGTTGCCCCAGCATCTACTCCTCTTCTACCCACAGTATCAAGACTCTCCAGTGGAAAAATGTTCTCTGATCTCAGCCAGCCCCACACTCGGCTCTGACCTATGCCTTGGAGACTCCAGAACCTGGAATACAGGGATGCTGGGATATGCGTTCCTTGGGGTTGGATGGGAACAGAGGAGAGGATTCTGGGGCCTGGAGTCACACTCCAGTCTCTGCTTGTAGGGCAAAAGAACATTCCACAGTATTCAGGCTATGGGCATCTAGCTGACTACATGATCGTGGAGCCTAGGATTGGCCAGTACCTGTTGGGCATCAAAGTGGCCTACAGGCTGTAGGTGTCCAGCTAAGTGCATGGCTCTAGGACTCAAGGAATGGCCAGTGCCACTGCCTGGCTGCTGTCAGGTGCCACTGGAATGGATGCTATTATGTACTAAGGGTCTGTGCATTACTTCCCTCTCTCATGGCTTCAACAAAACACCTGGCAAGAGCAACTTGAGAGAGGAACATGAAGAGAATGCTGATATCACAGGCACAACAATCAACAGTTAACAAACTGGGCCTCATGAGACTGAAAGGCTTCTGCAAGGTAAAGGACAGCATCAATACACAAGATGGCAGCCTACCCACTGGGAAAAGATCTTCACCAACTCCACATCTGACAGAAGGCTAATATCCAAAAGATATAAAGAACTCAAGAAACTAGACAGCAACAAACCAAACAACCCAGTTAGAAAAAAATGGGGTGCAGAACTAAACAGAGAATTCTCAATAGAGGGACCTCAAAGGGCTGAGAAACACTTAAATGGTCAACATCCCTAGCCAACAGGGAAATACAAATCAAAACTACTTTGAGATTCCACCTTACACCTGTCAGAACAACTAAGATCAATAACACGAGTGACAGCTCATGCTGGAGAGCATCTGGAGCAAAGGGAGCGCAAACTTGTATCGCCACCATGAAAATCAATACGGCAGTTCCTCGGAGAATTGGGAATTGATATACCTCAAGACCCAGCTATACCACTGTTGGACATACACCCAAAGGTTGCTCCATCCTATCAAGAATATTCTCATCACTTAAAAAAAAAAATGACATGAAATTTGCAGGCAAACGGATAGAACTAGAAAAAAAGTCACGATGAGTGAGGTCACCCAGACCCAGAAAGACAAACATGATAAGTACTCACTTTTAGGTGGATATTAACTGTTACGTTACTGATAATCATGCTGCAATCCATAGACCCAGAAAGGCTAAGTAACAAGGAGAGCTCAAGGAGGGAATGAACAAATCTTCCTGGGAAGTGGAATAGATTTCGTGGGTGGACTGGGGGCAGTTGGGGATGGGAATAGGAGGAATCAGGTTGGGGGAGGGATGGAGAAAGAGAGTACTGGGAGAGATGACAGGAATTAGGGGGCATTTGGGGCTCAATGTGGAAATCTAGTGCAGTGGAAATTCACTGGAATCTACAAGGGTGACCCTCGTGAGGACTCCTAGTAATGAAGGATACGGAGCCTGAACTGCCTACCTTCTGCAACCAGGCAAGGCTTCCAGGGGTAAGGACTGGGACACCAAGCCAGGCACAAAACCTTTGACCTACAATCTGCCTTGTCTGTAAGATCTGCTGGGGCAATGGTGGTACAGAACTTGTGGGAGTGACCAACCAATGGATGATCTAATTTAAGGCCCACACTACAAGAGAGAGCCCATGCCCGACACTGCCTGGATGACCAGGAACTGGAGGCTAAATAGCCCAGAGACACGGGGCAGAACAAAACACAACTGGCAGGAAAAAAAAATCAATGAAAAGAGTCCTAAGATATTATGCTATACTCACAGATCAGTGCCTGGTCCAGCTGTCTTCAGAGACTGCCTCCAGCAGATGACAGAAGCAGATGCAAAGACCCACAGTCAAACATTGGGCAGAGAGAGGGCCCATGTCAAAGGGCTCCATCAGGTCCCTCACCCAGAGCCCAATGAACCACGTGGAAGAGGAGGAGGAGGGATTGTGGGAGCCAGAAGGGTTGAGGATACTGAGAGAGCACAGCCCATGAAATCAATAAGCAGGACTCATAGGGGCTCACGGAAACTGAAGCGGTAATCACTGAGTCTGCATGGGTCTTAGCTAGGACCTCTGTGTATGTTATAGTGGTTGGCTTGTTTTTTTTTGCGGGGGGGGGGACTCCTGATAGTTTTTAGGACCCTTTTCCTCTACTGGGCTGCCTGTCCAGCCTTGAAGCAAGGGTTTGTAGCACGCCAGAAGCAGTTGTAGGCTCTGTTAATTTGAGGTCAGCCTGGTCTGCATAGTGAGCAGACCATGTCTCAAAAGGGGAAAGGGGGTTCTGACTTTGTCCTTTTCATTCTTTCCAGGACCTGAGCCCGGGGAATGGTGTCACCTACATTTGAGATGACTATTCCCCACCACCTCAACAGATGTACTCAGGGATTGGTTTCCATGGTGATCCTAAATCCAATTGAGTAGACAATCAAGATTAATCATTACAACATATTCCACTAAGTTTCACTGAATCTGCCCTAAAACAGGGGCCTGAAGGAGACATCTGAGAAGGGGGTGGCTGTGGGGGGAACACACAGCACAAATGCACCGTGCACACCTCTCCTTGCAGGTCGTGTCAGTGGGGCCTTCCAGACACCCTCGACTAGGACCCCTCCATGTGACAGCACTCCTGGCTTCCCCGGGTGGCCTAGAGTCCAACCCACGTGTCCATACTAGACACATACAAAAGAAAAACTGGCACAGGGTGCTGGAGGTGGGAGACAGGCACATCCTTAGTGACTCAGTGATGGGGTCAGCAGCTGCCACCAGGGACTAGAAGAGATGGTAGAGGACAGACCACCAGAGACAGCCCTGAAAGGCAGGTGGAGCTGCGGGTCAGGCGAGGGACTGTCAGGCTACTGCAGAGCCAGGCTGTACTCGGCTCCGGAATGACATCTGTGGTCCCCGGTCAAGGACACAGGAAACATGAGCCACACGGGCCTCTGCAGCATTGTCAGGCTGTAGGGACTTTAATTGGCTGTCCTTCATCTCCTGTCACCAAAGACATTGCCTGATCTCCTGAAGCTCAGCCTGGGTCATGCTATCACTTTGGATGGGTGAGCTGTGGAAAGGAGGGGATGGGTGTTCCATGAATTCCATTCAGTGAGTCTCAGCATCCATGCTATGTAGTGGTGGGGACTGAGGGCCACTCCTTCACATGGGATTCTCTGCTAACCATCTACTGCATCTGGACTGCAAGCTGAAAAATCATTGACTTGTCTAGCAAAATACCAAGAGAGAAGTAGGCACAGAGAGCAGAAAACCAACACCAACCCCCTTCACATGGGCATTCATGGAGACACCAGGAGAGAAGCTAGGCTGGCAACAATGAACCGGGTCTCCAGATACAGTCCTGGGTATATAACAGCATGGAACCCATCCCTGAAGAAAACGGGAAAGCTGGGGTGAGCAGAGCCACACCCAGAGTCACACGTGGAGCTGTAGAGGAAGGAGCCGGCTGCCAAACATCGGGGCAGGGCAAGCCTCCCAGCAGCCTCAGCATGCCAAGGGCCCTGAGGTTGTGGCTATGGCTCTGACACCAAGGTGGATGCCAAGAGGTTTCATGAGGCTCCAGACTGCACCAGGAAAAGCAGGAGGCTCATCCGCATCTCTTCCCAGGAGCCTGCTCTCAAGACCAGATGTTGTCATGGCAACCAAGTAGTGACTGGAGTGAGACAAGAGGCAGCTCTGCCAAAACCCTGCAGAATGGCCTCCTTTGTGGAGCGCCCCCAAGGCCTTCTGCACATAGAAGTGGTCTAAAAGAAGAATTGGTTTTTCTCTCCAAATGTTCTTCAGCAGATGACCTGGCTGCAAACAAGCGCTGAGGGCACTCAAGGCACAGCCTGTCAAATCCTAGACCCAGGTCCTGGCTGCCATGGTACAATGCCAAAGGTGAGTGCGTCAAGCCTCAGGCACCTAGCTCTCAGAATTTTGGAAGCTAGAAGTTCACTGCTAAGGTAAGGATAGGGAATAAGTCCCCGAAGGCCCTATTGCTGGCATTTCCAGGGGTCACCTTCTCTGTTCCCTGTGTCCTTACCCCTGCTGGTCCAACCTTGTGTCAGTATCTTCATTACCTCTTCAGCTAAGGCCACCAGCTACACTGGACCCCCAGGGCTTGATTATAAGCTAACAACCCCGAAACACACTGATGGCAGATCAGCATCATCTTGAGATTCTGGACTGGGTTTCAGAACACAAATGAGGGCCACAGTGTGACGTCAGCAGCATCGTAAGTCCCTGTGTAGAATAGCCCCCTGACTGGGAAAGTGCCTTTGTGCAACTTATAAAAAGACCTCTTCTGTAAAGCATTTAAAAACAATCTGGCCTCTGGATGCAACACCGCAAGTGCCACTGTCGCAGGACATGAGATGGTTTATACAGGCTGATGGGGCTGAGGGAAGCTTCTAGGGAGGAGCAGAGGCATAGGCACATGGGCCTGGCTTGCTTCCAGGCCCCTCAGGAGAACTTGGCTTTGCTCATTCCACCTTTCTGGAAGGTGGTGGCCCTGAGAGGAAGCAAAAAGGCAAGTCCAGGCTCCCAGACCTGGGGCAGAGCCTGACCTCCAGCTCCTTAGGGTCTGGAGTTTGAGTCACTTTGGTCTCAAACAGGCAGGAAAGGGGGCTGTCCTAGAGCTACATGCAAGTGGTGGCTTCCACACTCTACAGTCACCTGCCTGCTCTGTACAGAAATGCTCAGAGTAGCTCTGCACTGGGCTGTGGCGTGCGCGACACAGGAAAGTCTCATTCGAAAACTCTGTGGGCAGAGGGGCAGCCATAGACAACCCCATGCAGCTAGAAATCAGAGGAGATGGGACCCAGGAGGGGGTCTTCCCAGTCCAAGAGGGACATGGAGAAGACAGCTGGGCCTGGAACTGTGGACAGAGGTTTGTGGGCCAAAGGGTCAAGGGGCCAAGAGTGACAGGGAAATCAGCAGAGAGTGGAGCACGGCCCCATGGGTCCCTGAAGGACAGACAAGTCTGAGAGTTGGGGACGGGGATGAGGGACAGGTTACCAAGGATCACCAGCCACCACTGAGGAGCACAGAGTGGTCTCGGAAGCCAAAGGAACCCCTGGGAGCTTTGAGCAGAGGCTGACAAGAGCAAGAAAGAAAGGGATGCAAGACTCTGGCCCAGCCCCAGCCCAGCTTTTGCACTCGGTATGGCCTCCAACCCTGACCTCAGCTTCCTCCTCAGGATGAATGAGCAAGAATCCTCCAGGCGACCCCTGCTCATAAGCTCAGAGCCATCCCAGCTCAGCATGAGGTCACACATCTTCTGGCCCCGTTCATGCCGGAAGTGAGACATCTCCAATGACTCAGCTGCCATCAGATCTGTGGAAACACCTGCAGCCCAGAGTCCAGACCCGTTTCTGCGAAGGGAGGCTTACCTCCAGGGAATGAGCCCAGAGCTCTGTCCCAGGTGTCTGAGTCTCATCCCTCTGTGGCCTGGCATCAGTAGCCACAGGGAGGCAGCATGGTTCCCCAGTGAACCTGTCAGTCAGAGAGGAGGCTGCTTTAAATACTAGTTTTCCCTAAGCTACCTCTGGGTCTTTAGCACATGACACACACCCCTTCCTCCAGCAGACAAGCCTGGCATCTCTGTCACCGGCTTACCAGGCACTTTCAAAATGGAGCCACACACAAGTTGGATACAGTTTCACAACAACCACATTAGTTCCCTTCCACTCGAGTTCCCACAGGGCCACCAGTCCACTGACACGCTCCCTGTCCACTCGAGTTCCCCCAGGGCCACCAGTCCACTGACTGCTCCCTGTCCACTCGAGTTCCCACAGGGCCACCAGCCCACTGACTGCTCCCTGTCCACTCGAGTTCCCACAGGGCCACCAGTCCACTGACACGCTCCCCTTCCACTCTCCCTCAGCAGCCCAGGTTCTCCGGTCAATAATCCCACTCACTTTCACACATGCCATCTGTTCCAGACCCACGGATTCACATGGCAAAGGCCCTTCTTGGTTTCCTCTCTGCCGACCTGCTGCCTATGACCCACGGCATATGCTGGTCTGTCTCCAAGACCCCAGTACTGGTCACGAAAGACTCCTGCATGCCAGGGCCTTGCATACCTAGTGCCAGTTTCAAGCATGTCAGTGGGTATTTGATAAACAGCTGCGTGTGAGTGCTGTGCTCTTCACATGGGTGAGCATAATTCCTGTATTCTGGATGGGAAAAGGAAGCCAGTGACAAAGAGACAGGTCTCAGTGCTGGAGTCACCAACTCTTTCCTCATTCACGACTAACTTGTTCTAATGTCCTGTGGCCACACAGGTTATAAGACAGTTACAACTCAATCCAAAATGACCAACATTTTTTACTGTCTCCATTCTATAACAGATGTCCACTTCCTTGCCCCTCACTCTCTCCCAGGAGATACTTGTGAGGCTCTATGACTCAGGTCCCTTACTGGAAAGGTCTGGTGACAGTGTCTGCCTCACTGAGTGAAAGCCCATCACATAAAGCTTCACTTAGTATGGCTGTCATTAACAGTCCCCACAACAGTGACAAGGTAGCAACCTGCCCTTCCTGGACTGGCCCTGACCCTCCCCAGCTTGGTGTAGGCTATACCCACACATCCTGTAGGTGGCCCTCTCCTTAGCAGGCTCCTGAGCAGTGCTCAGTCCTTAGCTTGTTCTGACACCAGGACCCCATTTCTGCCTAGCTTCAGACACCCAAGTCTCTGATATCCCAGTTGTCACTCTACATCCGGAGTGACACCCACTGGACCAGCACAAGGGGATGCAACCTCTAAGTAGCTGTCCTGGGGAGTCAGCATCCTCTCCTCCAGGGCATGGTGCCTCTAGGTCTCTTGCTCCTTCATGGTTCCTATGGGGACCAAGATAATGGAGACCACTGCCACCCTAAGGAGGCACAGGGTGTGATGGAGCCCTCACAGCAGCCGTGTCCTTTAAGTGTTCATAAACAGACACCTTGTGACCTCACACCTTGCCTCCTTTACACTCTAGGTGGGACAGTTCTTCAGTGAGGAAGTCGCCAAGCCTGAAGCCCCGGAAGTCAGTGTGCTTATACACCAGCCCAAAGCCACTTCCCTGCAGGTCAAGTCAAGGATACTAAAACTCCTATCAGTGATAGCCAGGTGCCAGAGGTTGATGCGCAGGTCATCCGCCGACATGTATGTCTCACAGTCGCTGTTGACTGAGATGGAGTTGATATGGTAAGTGTGGCCATTGGCAAAGATCCTCCTCGGGCTCACCTCCACCATCAGGTCCATGGGCTTCAGCACAGGCACCTGCAGAGCAGAGGCAAGCAGAGTCACATGGGACAAGTGTCAGGAGACACATGATCTTTTTTCGTTCAAGACAGGGTTTCTCTATGTAGCCCTGGCTGTTCTGGAACTCGTTCTGTAGATCAGGGCGGTCTCGAACTCATAGAGATCCTCCTGCTTCTGCCTCTCAAGTGCTGGGATTAAAGGTATGTGACACCACTGCCTGGCAGAGGACTCACAATCTTCATGGGAGACTGCATCACCCATTCGGGATCCGGGTGTGAAATAAACAGCCATGGTGTGAGATAAGTGATCATAGATGGTAAATGGCCTTTACCTGTCTGGCTCATGCAGCATGTTCTATATGGCTGTTCAACTGTGAGGTTTTCAAAGTTTCCTGGCCTGTACAAGGGGCTCAGGTGGCAAACCTGACCCACCTCACATGAACTGAAGTGCCTAGCAAGGGTGCACGCACATGTGTTCTCTCTCTCTCTCTCTCTCTCTCTCTCTCTCTCTCTCTCTCTCTCCTTTCTCTCTTTCTCCCCTCTTCTCTTTCTCATTTTTTTTTATATTGTATCTCGTTTGTTTTTTGTGTATGAGCATTTTGACTGCATGTATTCACTATGTGTGTGCCTGGTACCCAGGGAAGCCAGAAGAGGGCATCGAATCCCTTAGGACTAGAGTTATAGAGAGCTGTAACCTATAAGCTGCCATGTAGGTGCTGGGAGCCAACCCAGGTCCTCTGCAAGAAGAGCAAGTGCTCTTAACCACTGAGCTATCGCTCCAGCCCCCAGAACTCTTTCTTGCAAGTTCCACATTCTGCTGAAGGATGCAAGTTCTTATGCCTTTTAATTAAGCAGGACAAATGTCGACTTTGGTACAACTCTACAGCACCACCTTCTGGACTTCACTGCGTCAAAGATCTAGCCCAACTCCCTCTGCCCAATAATAGCCCAGGGATGGGGAGCACTGAGCTCAACTTAGTAACTGTTGGAGAAGTGTGGCCATACACTAGCCTCAGTTTCTCCTTTCTGTGTGGGCATTTTCTGACTTGTTATCCCCCTCAACTGCAGGTGAAGAGCCCTTCACTGACAAAGCCCACCACACCAGGCCAGTAAGGAAGTGGATTAAAATTTTTCATCTTGGGGGGAATTCTGAAGACATAGGATGTAAAAGCGAAGTGAAACAACAGGCTATTTTAGGACAGGATGTTTACAAGGAGGTGAAACAACGGGATGCTCTAAGTTTTCAACCTCTGGGTCGACATCCCTCTGGGGGTCAAACAGCTCTCTCACAGGGTTCACCTCAGATATCCTGTATATCACATATTTACATTATGATTCATAACAGTTGTGAATTACAAAATTACAGTTATGAAGTAGCAACAAAAATAAGGTTACGGTTGGAGGTCACTACAACGTGAGGAACTGCACTAAGGGTCACAGCGTGGGGAAAGTTGAGAACACCTGGTTGGTCTAAAGGGAGGTGAAATCCTTCCATCCTGCAGGAAAGCTCCTTCTGTACAGTAGATAAACAACCCATGATAGCGTCAGGAAGCCCCTGAAACTGACCAGGTTTGCCCAGTCCCTCCCTTTCCAGGAGCATAGAAACAGGAAAGCCTACAAAAAGTCGCACTCCAACAAGCTGAGCTGCTTGGTTCAGAAAAGGCTTGGGCCAGCAGCCTGAAGAGACTCTGACCAGCCGAGTCACCTGGAAAGGGCACCTGTGGAGCTGCCTGCAGGCTGTGCAGTGTGCTCCAGGTTCCCAGCTTTGTGAGCTGTCACCATGCTGGGGTGGGTTTTATCACTCATTTCCGCGCCTGTAAGAAATCCCAATAAAACTCATTGATTCGGCTAGGTGTGGTGGCACAGGCCTTTAACCCCAGCACTCAGGAGACAGAGGTGGGAGGATCATTGTGAGTTTGGGGCCAGTCTGGTTCATAAAGTGAGTTCCAGGACAGTCAGCTGTTACACAGAGAAACCCTCTCAAAAAACAAAAGCAAACAAACAAACAAAAACAATTTTTAAAAAAAAAAACCCAAACTCATTGGTTCATCATGGTGGACTTGTTGGTGTGTGTACTTTGGTCTGTCATTGGTTTGCCATCTTGGATACATAGATGTTCGTTCATCACCCCAGGAATAATGTCACAACAGTATGGCTCTGGCCCTGGCACCGAGAGTCCGAAACATCTCATGGCTTAGGAGGACATAAATGCCAAACGTTCTGTTCATGAAGCTCACCTGCAGCGACGTCACTGTAGACAGGTCTTTTAACTTCCCCTCCTCATCCTTCAGGTTGTAGCCCTCGGGCCTCTTGTCTCGTTCGGTGATCTTCCATAATTTAATAGTTTTATCTTTAAGAATAGAACAGGAAGAATAAGGCACCCTGTCACAGCCAGGTCAGCCCAGCCCAGATCTGTCACAGCCAGAGGGACAGTGATATGCATGTACCTCAGTAGTCACCCCACACCCCTGTTCTCACACAGCCAGGGTCTCCCTTGCAACGCCTTACACAAAATACCTCTACACGTGAAGACTGTGTCCTCAGCCCATCTTTCTGAGTCCCTGGCAGGGATGCTGCTAGGGCAAAGTGATCCTTGCAAGGATCACTACTGACCTCTACATTGAGTCTGTACCACTGTGTCTTCCTGAGAAGAGGGTGGCCTACCTGCCATTGCTAGCTCAGTGATACCTGCCACCCAGAAGCCAATTCCAGGGGCTTCTCTTCTCTGCACTCCCCTCTTGCACCTCACAGGAGGAAGTGCAGGTGATGGTCACCTTATGGCTCACCTTGGCTATGCCACAGACACCATCCAAAATACATTGTCTCTTGCTAGGAAGGATCTTTCAGATGCAATTAAATTTTAAATCCGGCAAGCAGATAAGCTGCCATCAGGAGGTGGGCCTTGCGTCACTGCTGAAGGCCCTGACAGAACCAAAGTACTGCCTCTGTCAGCATTCTTCAGGCTTGAGCTGTGTGCTTCTGGTCTCACAATCACAGGGGCAAGTTCCTCTCCATCTCTCTCGCTCCCTCTCTCCTCTCTCTGGCTTCCCCAGAGAACCCTGATAACCTCAGCGGTCAAAAGAAACAACAGGGTAAGCATGGGAAGGATTGAAAAAAACTGGTTCCAGATAGGACCTTCATTAAGGGTCTTCAGTCTTCTGTAAGGACTGGGTGGAACTGGGGTATAAAGTGGGTCTAGAGGTTTTGTGGGGCTAAGAAGTAGGTGACTCCCTGGCTGGCCTTCCTTCCAGAATGTCAAGAAGTTAATTTTGAAGACATATATGGATGCACAGGCACTGAAGTGTTTGTGTACACATGCATGTGCGCACACACAAGCTTAGTGCCATCTTTACACGCTCCTGGTACCATGTGATTATCCATCCACTCTCGCACAGGATAAAGAAACCAGAGTACAGGTGTGCTGAGCTGATCCCAGCCAGGCCTCCAGGAAGCCAACTAGATCCTGTCCTCTCAAAGCCCGACAGAGATGCACAGCTAGAATGACAAGTGTCCTGTCAAGCAATGGTCCAGCAGAGGTGAGACATCAGGGCAGGTTTCACGGGGCACTATCCAGTGGACCGAGAGGGGATGAGGAGGGAAGTCACCGCATGAGAGATTGTGGTGGGGGTAGGCAGAAGGTAAAAGATGAGTTATTCTCAGGAAGCCATTGAAGCACCCAGAGAAGTAGGACTTCCTCAAGGAATACAGAGGTGACGCCATCTTGCCAGCCTCCCTCAGACTCACGCAGCATTTACTCCTCTCAGAGCACTGGATGGATATCATATCTCATAACCCCCGAAGGGAGCAGTGTGCAGACCAAGGCTAATGAAGGTAAGACCACGTGTCCCAGTTCACAGAGCTGGCCTGGACCCAAGTCTGCCCCACCAGACTCCTGGCCCTGGCTCATGGGCTAAGGAGGGGAGTGAGGATAGCAGAGCAAGTGTGGGAACTAGGTGGCCAGGAGGGGCTGGGAGGCCTAGACCCAATCTAGAGATGGCAGTCAGAGCTGTACAACAGCTTTCTGAGATCACGGCATGTCTTGAAGCAGAGGGACAAAGGCCAGCCACCTGTCTATTCTCCCCACCACTCAGGGCAGCACCAGGCTGGGTGATTCGTGGCTCTGAATGAAAATTCAGTTTGTATCTGGTGGTCACTGGTTCCTGGCCCTGGTCCCTGTTTCTGGAATATTCAACTTCATCTCTACCTTGAAAACATCCATGACCATTGTATTTACAATGAGGGAAGATTCGTGATCAGCCAGGGAAAGCTGAAGAGAATGGCCCGGTGGTCACTAAAGCCACAGAGAAGGCCGGAAGCCTGAGTGAGGTCAGGCCAGCCCCACCGCCAGGCCTCACCATTGGTGGACAGCAGCGAGTGTGCGGCGTTCTGCTGCGGGAGCCATTTGATCTTGTTGATCTTCTCCTCGATCTCCAAGCTCTTCAGGTAGTCGAACTCGGGCTCGTGGCTCTGAAAGGTGCTGTACACGTCGTACTCGCCCTGGCTGTGAGGCGCGTTCTTACTCTGCAGGGAAACCCAAGGGCAGCTGAGTCACAGGAGCAGCCAGGGTGGATGGAGGCAGACATGAGACTGGGCTGAATCCGCCTTGCCATGAGGGTGCTATCCACACCACCAAAGGAAGATGCTAGTGCAAGTGTACCCGTGTGTGTGTGTGTGTGTGTGTGTGTGTGTGTGTGTGTGTGTACAGGGTGGGTGTATGTGTAGGGGTGTGTGTGTGTGTGTGTACACAGGGCTGTGTGTACAGGGTGGGTGTATGTGTAGGGGTGTGTGTGTACACAGGGCTGTGTGTACAGGGTGGGTATGTGCAGGTGTGTGTGTGTGTGTACAGGGTGGGTGTATGTGTAGGTGTGTGTGTGTACACAGGGCTGTGTGTACAGGGTGGGTGTATGTATACGGGTGTGTGTGTGCACAGGGCTGTGTGTGCAGGGTGGGTATGTGCAGGTGTGTGTGTACAGGGTGGGTATATGTGTAGGGGTGTGTGTGTACACAGGGCTGTGTGTACAGGGTGGGTATGTGCAGGTGTGTGTGTACAGGGTGGGTGTACAGGCTGTATTGCAGGGGTGTGTGTATGCAGGGATGTGTGTTTGTGTATAGGGGGCATGCAGGCATGTGTACAGGTGTATATGTGTGTATAAGGACGTAGGTGTGCATGCATGTGTGTGAGCACACGTACAGAGACAAGGGACAACCTTAGATATCATCCACGAAACACTGGCCACCCTCTTTGAGGCAGGGTTTCTCATTATTCTAGACCTCACCAATTAGACTAGCAAGCCCTGGCGGTCTGCCTGTCTCTGTCTCCCCCAAACTGGAATCACAAACACATGTATTTTTTTATGTCAGTTCTGGGGATCAAACTTAGGTCTTCATGCTTGTGAGGCTAGGGTTCACCCCATGTATCCCTGACATGGCCACCATTCACCCTGATGAGACCAGTTGCCAATGTCAAGACTCTACCTACCCTCATCTGTCTGGCCCTAAGCCTGCTACCCATGGAGCCCCATTTTGGGCTGCAGAGTTCCTGCTATGAATCTCCTCTCACTGGAGAACCCCAAATGCTGAGTGTTAGACCTGCCATAAACACCGGGGATCACTTTTCCAGCAGACAAGTCAAGTTTCTATGACAACATGAAATCACAGCTGGGAACAAGCGAAAATGGCCAAGCCCGACGACAGGCTTTTCTGTTCATTTTGAAAGTGTCTATTTTTAGGTCCCCATCTCTGTCTTGCTTTAGGATCTGTTTGAAAATCCTTCCACGTCTTTTGCCTCCTCTTCCCACGAGCACGAGTTGCGAAAATGTCAGCAGGACCAGCGGGAGGAGACAAACGGAAGGAGAAAAGCCAGAACCTCTGAGCTCATTTCTCCTTGCAGCACGATGGCTGCACGGCTGACGCTGATGTGCCCTGGTGGGATGGTCTGCCTTGCGACACCTGTGCGCATCAGGCCGTCCCTGGCCTGCCCTTGCTGAGCTATTTTAAGCCCTCTGTGCTGTGCTTCTTGAGCTGTCAGAGGAAGGGTGACAGCAGCTCTCTGCCTGGTGGGGTGGCAACGCAGGGTTGCATGCGCTATGAAGCATGGGGACCGCGCTCAAGGGGGCGAAGATGGCTTCAGCTCCTCGCTCTAGCCCTGCCTCCCTTGAGCCTCTCCCTTCTCCCCTCCCTGGTTTTTCATCCCCAACACATTCCGTGAGTGGTGAGAGAGGCCCCTGGCTGGGGTGGTACATGAGGAGGCAGCAAGAGCCTGGCAGCTTTCCGTGGGGCTGGCTGCTGATTGGCCTGTCTGTAAATGGGTGTGCGTCTGTAACCTCGGGGACCAGCCAGAAGGAGCCAAGGCAGAAACCATATGGAAATGGACCGCTCAGCCCAGTGTCTGCATGAAGTATGTCCTCGGTGAATGGGCGATGTTTCAGAAATGACCTCCTGGGGGGATGGTCTCAGGTTGTTCTTGGCATATTCGGAATGCTACTGCATAGAAACCGGGGAGGACAGAGGCAGATGGAGACATGCTTGAAGGGTGGAGGCCTGCGCGAAACCTGCCAGGGTCAGCAAAGAGCTGGATGGGGTGGGGGTGGCGGTCCCCCACTCCTAATATGGGCAGGGAAGTTTCTCCTGGGGTTTGCCTGGAACTGCAGCCTTGTCAGTGAACAGTCAACAAACTCCTGTTAGGTGGGGAGAGGCTCAGAGTGTAGCTCTAGGAGCTGACCCAGTCCAACTGCCAGGTCCACCCCTTTCCCTGCATCCCCAGGGACCTCGTGATAGAGAGGAGCCAGTGAGGGACTGGATGGAACACTGGGCAAGGTGGGCCAGAAATCCTGCTCAGAAAATGGTCTGCACCCTGCCACCCCTACACCTGCCTGACCCCACCCTCACCCCGCATTCTAGCCATCTGCCTATCCTCTTCCGATATCCCTCGTGACCCCTCCACACACATACCTCTGGTTCCCGCTGGAAGATAACCACGCGGCCACCCTTGTCACCTGTGGCCAGCAGTTCCCCAGTGTGGTTGAACTCGACAGTGGAGATGATGTCAGCTTGAGGAAGCAACACAGAAAGCATTTTCAGACTACCGCATCACCAGACAGTGGCGTCAGGGCAGGGCTCTGCTCTGCAGACCCCACAACCCTGGGTTCCCATGGAGCAGGCAGGAGCCCAGGCGAACAGAGCATGCTGAGGTTCCCCACCCTCCTGCAGGACTGTGTGACTCTTCCCTATACCCTGTCCCTCACACAGTGTCAGGCAGGCTTCCTCCTGTGCTCAGCAGGTCCCTAGTACAAATTTGACACTTAGACTAGGCTCCAGGCCCAGGGGACAGGACTGGGGATAGTGTGGGGCCTTGCTGAGGGCCTGGGGCCTGTTGACTATTGGAGCATGGAGGCCCCACTCCACAGCCCTGGATGCCATTAGGGCCTTCCACTAGTCAGGCTTGTTCAGCCTTGGAAGGCAGACAAGGGAAACCAGGGGACAAGGCATGGTGGCTTGCTTGTGTCTCTAATAGCACCTTTGAGGAAACTAAGATCTAGGCCTAAAGTCAAAGCCATTGCACTGGGACAGAGAAGGAGTGGGTACAAAGTTGGGGGCCACCATGGCTAGCAAACTGCCTACAAACTGGGGACAGAAGGTGACATTGAAAGCCACCTGGGTTTGCTTTGCCTTCCTTTCTTGAACCAGGCCTCATGTTCACTCCTAACACCTGTGGCAGGCCATGCTTGGGAAGGCTAGCCCCTGGCCTGGCAGAAGGAAAGTTCTTCATTCTAGAAAAAGCTCCAGAGTTCACCAGCCCCAAACCCAAGACTGCCCTACCACCAGGCTTTACTGGAACCCCAAAATGATCTTTGATTTTAATTTAAACATACTCCTAATATTGAAAAGATGGAAGTATCTCTGTTTTTTTTTTAAAAAAGTGTTTCCTATATACTTTGAAGCACAGAAAGTTCTAGAACATTGACCCATATGCCCAAGCAGCAACTGTTGGCAGAGCAAGGCAGAGCCTACTCCTGTGAATGGGCGCCTGGTCATTCTTCACATTCCTGGCCTGGGCTCTCTCAATGCCAAAATCTCTGGCCCCAACTTGGTAACAGGACCATCTGTGACAGCTCTCCAGGGACCCCAGTGGGGCACCAGCAGGCCTCCCTGACTATTCTCCTCTTCAGATACCCACCAGGGAGATGCCTACACCCTCGAATCTTGGTATCGTTCCTCATGCTCCATCCGCAGCAGTTCCCAAACCTGGTTTTCTTCTCTGGCTATTAGCAGAAGCAAACAGCCCCTTCCTATCCCACAGCCAGGTCTCAGCTTAGCTTCCATGACACCCATATCAGTGCTATTCCCTGTCTGTTGCAGAATATTTGTTTAATTGTGCAAAGTTGGGCTGCATTTATTTATGTAGTGGAATATTCGTTTAACTATGTAAAGATGTTTTGCTGTTTTACCTTGTGTTCCTAAGACACCTGATTGGTCTAATAAAAAGCTAAACAGCCAATAGCAAGTGAGGAGGTACAGGCAGGACTTCTGGACAGGGAGAGTAAGGAGGAGGAAGAATTTAGGCTAGGGGGTGGGGATAAAGAAAATGCCGGGAGATGCCGGGGACCAGGCAGATAGGACAGAATGAAACAAAGGTAAAAAGCACCAAGGCAAGACATAGATGAGTAGAAACAGGTTAAATTAAGTTAAAAGAGCTTGTGGGACAAGCCTAAGCTAAGACCGAACACTCATAATTAATAAGTCTCTGTGTCCTTATTTGGGAGCTGGTTGGTGACCCAAAGAAAATGGCAATCACACCTGTTCTTCAAAGGGGGCCTTGGCTCCTAAATTTTCACCTACCTCACTGTGCCCCACCGGCTGCAGGGAAACAACAGGCAGGGCCCAGCAACACCATGACTGACACTCTGATGTGTCACTTCCCTGCCCAAGGCTCCTAGCAGCCTTGTACCCTACATTCAGAGCCATCTGCAATTGTGCACGTCAGGACCCCAGACCTTCACGTCCCCTGTGTCTGCTCCCCTCTACAGAACTCGCATGCCTCCCACCTGGACGGTAAACCCCACCTGCCCTGGCCTCTGGGTTGGGCCCTGGGATTTGCGTGGGCCTATGAGACAATAGCTAGCTAGCGAGCTGCAGCAGGGCCAAGAAGGCCTTACACACTCAGCTCTAGCCTGCTGCCTCTGCTTTTGCCAGCAGAGGGACCTGCCCAGGCCAGTCGGCCAGTTCCCACAGGAGCAGGTGCAACAAAGCTGCTGGCCAAGCCCAGCCTGGAGCAGGCCATATACAAGTCCAAACTCAGCTCTCTGCAGATGTATGACAAACTGTTTGCCAGTGATAGACACCCTCTAAGCCTTATCCTGTTCTACCTCGCCATCATTCCATGTCTGCCCAGGAGCCTCCTCATCCCAGCTGACGTCACTGCCCAGTCTGGACACTGGGCCTGGGTGTCCTCCCTTGGCATCAGTACAGCACAATCTAGAGACTTTCTTCTCATCTTGCACATGGGCAGCCTGCTCCAGTGAGTCACCGTGCCCACCTTGTTGAACCTCCCACCCTGTGCGCTCTTCTCCTGGCCCAGGCGGTATGCAGTGTTCCTTGCTGTGTCTGGTGCCTGGCTCTATGACAGCTGAGCTCTGAGATCTACTTCAAAACCTCAGTGGTGCCTGTGTCTGGTATAGTGTGTGTATCTACTTAATACGAACCTTTTGTTTATCAAAACCTTTTCTTTGAGGGTGCCGGGATAGGACCTAGGTTTTTATAGCCATCGTTGAACTGTACCCCCAGCTGTAATGTGTGCCCTCCAGAGGGAGCTCCTGATGCACACTGGGCCTCTGAGATAAATGTCAGCCATGGTAGCAACCAATTAGGGCATAGACACAGAATGTTAGTGGAATATACCCCCTTTACATTTAAATAAAGGGACCAGGCAAGTGCCTGCTACACACACTAAGTTGTCCTGCCCACTGACCCCATCCCTCCATACAGCACCTGCCCTGGCTCAGGGATACTCTGGGATGACCTCAACCCTGCAGTACTGGGCTCCCAGATGAAGCAGTGGCTCTTGCTACTTCACATTAAAACTCCCTAAGGGGGAAAGAGCAGAATATAAAATTGTATATAAAATGTCTTAATTATATAGACCAGTGATCACAGCGTTGTTTTAAATAAGCAAACAAGCTGAAGTGGGGGTTGGAATTTCAACAAAGCTTTATGTAGGATGGATGTAACAAAATAAATTTCCCTTCCTGATTTTGTAGATGTTCTGTAATGCAGCTACATTATTTTAATAACTTTATTAGGATGTAATCAGTACATCAAAACCGGCATAGTTAATGTAGACAACTTGATGAGTTTGGGTATATACATAACACTCGTTATTTTTATGATGGGAAAATAATGCAATTAAATTAAAATGCTGACATAACCTCACTATCCAGAGCAATTGAGGTCCACCGAGGCTGGACGGTTACCACAGTAACAGACACTAATGTCTGTGAGCAATTTACAATTTGTATGTCATTTTCATGTCCACTGCTTCCTTGGAGCCCTCAAAAGCATCCCCCACCCCACCCCGGGGAGAGATTAGTGTGACTTACAGTTGGTGACAGGAAAACAGTGCTCTTTCCACAGGCAAAGCCGTGGGAGCTCGCCATGGACCAGTCAGAAAGTCTGGGCTAGCATCCTGGCTCACACAGTCAGCTATGTGGCCTAGGGTGGGTATCCCTGGCTCCTCATCTGTGACTAGGCTGTGATGTATGGTCTTTCTTGGTACAGAAGATAGTGAGGCAACTGCAGAGGGGAGACCAAGGAAGGAGTACCAACTAGGGTTCTGAGGAATAATGGACTGAAAAAGAATCTGCCTCTTAGAGAGCCACAGCCTTCTGCCATCATTGCCTCTGGCTCCTAGAAAGCCCAGTAGTGCTTAGAAGTGTAGGCCTACAGCCCAACCCCTCCAGTCCTATGGTTCGGTTCTGAATACCAGTGCAGAACAGGTATCGACCTCCCAGGATCGACCTTCTTACCCAGACAAGGGCCCTGCTAAGCTCTCCAAACAAGGACTGCAGGGACGGGGGCCACACCTACTGTCTTAAAGCACAGGTCCCAAAGGTTTGCCTGAGGCAAAGCTACCTCAGAGTTCCAAGAGTCACCGTCTACCAATGCCAGCCAAGCACAGTCATTGGGAAGCACCTCTGCAGAGAAAGGTCACCTTTTCTCCTAGTAAAAGTGAGACATCTCCTGCTCTAGTACCACCTCCTTCAGGAAATGCATGCCCACCATACTCCATTATCAATGAAATGGTCTCTTCTCTAGATGTGGGTTCAAGATCAATGTGTGCCCCTTAGAAGGCCGAAGCTCATACCCCCTGGCAGTTTGTGTCCGCATTACCTCCAGTCCTGACCATGAAAAGCAGCAGGACCCGCAGTCGATCCCATCCACTTCTCCTGGGAGCCATTTGTCTCCAGGTAGTGCTGATCTAGCCCAGGAACCCTTAATAGAGCTGGGCTTTCAAGGAGACAACTGCAGGGTCTAAACCCATGACCAAATAACAAAACCAAACTATCTGTGGTCACTGGAGGGGAACCACACACTAGGAAACCTTTGGATCAGCCACAATAAAAAGCTCAAGGCTTAGCCTCCGAGTGGGGGGCACCTATGCAGTGTGGGCAGCTACAGGCATATGAAATGCCACTAGCCCTCGACTATCCTGCAGAGTTGGCGGTCACGCAGAAGCAAGCAACAGGGACAGTGAAAAAGGGACCACTGGTCAGCACCCTGAGACAGCCCAGGCTACCTGAGAACGCCTGAGAAGTGAGAGGTGTTATCTCTCACGCAATGCAATCTGCCATGCAATGACAGATTGTTGCACACCACAGGCAAAGATGAGCAAAGATAATGGTATGGGTTGGATTTCAGCCCCTAAAAAGATATGACAAAGGCTTGAACTTGGGCCCTGCAGGGAGCAGACTGCTCTGAAGGGGAGTCTTTGTAGATGGTCAAGATAGAGATGTCAAACTCTAGGAAGACCAGCTAGCTCTAAGCACAAAGACCT